TTATATATATGTCAACACATATTTGAGGTGAGAAAAGAATTACTACTTCCTTGGCTACTCATGCTAAATGTAGTATGCTAAACTTGATTGGATTCACATTTAGAAGAAGATAATTTCTAGAAAGTGGCTCCTGTCTATTGGTCTCAGAACTTGACAACGTAGATTGGTGGTGTTGTTTTGATACTTGTGATTTCCCGTTGCTATACGAGACGGAATTGCTCTTCCTCTGTTGGCAAATAGACTCCTATGCAGATGCCTCGATACTCCTAATAATTCATGAAGTTACACTGATCTTGGTGACTAGTATAGGAATCTAGGACGCGCGTCGCATCCTATTTGGGATTCGTCAGTTGCACATAACTGCGCCCTGGTGAGTGATGTTGTTCCCACTAAGCCATTGGGACAAGAGGTAGTTACTGTGCCCCAGTGGCTTGGTGGATGACCTTCTGGTGTTTGAAGCGATAGGTACTGGGTTCGTTCCTCAGTGGGAACAACACTCAGACAGACAAGTCTCAAGTGGGACGAAACGCTCGTCGTGGATTCATACGCCAGTCACCAAGATCAATAGATTGGTTTTACAAAAATTTAAGCCATTATGCTAAACTTATACGTGAACTGTAATTAACAAATCCGACTGAATGAACAAACTTTCAAAGAGAATAACCGTCTAGTCCTTAATCAGCTGCATGTTTTGAGATGGTTTTCTCGAAATTTAAACGAGAAACTCCAATCTGCAGGGTGGGAGGAATGAGTGAGAGGATGAATACCTCCAGATGGCATCGAATGGTGGACTCGGTATGTATCACAAATTGAAGTAAACGGGAAAATGTGAACCACTGGACCCATCTCTGAGGCTGGGCGGTCATGTGATCACTGAGAGACTTAACGGTCGTCGATTAGATATTTCCTGGGGCCACGACTGCGCACCGCTAAGTGAAAGTCAGGTTGTGGCAATATTATTTTATGATGGGCAGTTAGCATGAACAGAAACTGGTTTATTCATTTGCTGGATAGTTAGCACGTTCGCCGCAAAACCTGAAAGCTCTAAGTTCGATCCCTGATGGGATCATGAGTGCGAACTGCTGAGTCCTACACAGGGGCGAAACAGTTATCGTTTGCTTCCGAGTTTTTAACAGTTATCCAGCTGATTTCTGTCCATGATGAATGCACTGATAAAAATATTATCTATTTCTTTTCATCAAATAGCGTTTTCCATGTTAACAATATTGTTGAGAAGTAGAGAATGTTTTGCGAAAATAAAGGCGGACTCAGTGTACTTCCATACACAATGACTAAAGACTCCGGTGAACGTGACAGACAGAAACTAGACAATAGTACCTTACAGTGGGGTGAAATAATATACATTACCAAGGCTATGAGTGGTAGTTTCGCCTAGAAACTGGAATACATAGTGAGATAATTGGCATACAACTGTCATGAGATTAGACGATTTAATTTGAACAAAACCCCTTCTAAAATAAACGGTGAAGCTATAAGTGACAGTCAACTGGCATTTGTTTAAATGTGAATACTAGTTATGAAAGATTTTACGAAATAACTACTGCTGTAAGAAAATTCCAAGTTACTACTTCTACTTCAAAAGATAGGAACTAGTTGTATTCACATGAACATTCATATACGAATATATACACTGAAAATTTCTTCGAGAGTGGATAAAACTAAATTATTTTGATAGAGTCTTATCTTAAATTAAATCCTAGAGTTAAATTAATTGTTTATAAAATGCATAGTCTATGGAGAGAAATTTCATCATGGTTTCCTATCGAAATGAAAATATTCAAATCATATAATGTGGTATGCTTGACACAACAATTTGTTTGAGAATTGCCAGTATAAAAGCTTTTCAAAATATCCTACTGAACAAAAACAGTATTTGTAAACCAACAATATCAGTCAGTAATAACTTCTAAAATGAAATAAGTTAGAGATTTAGATTATAAAACTATATTAAATTTGATAAACTCAATCGTTTATCCACAAACTTGATCCTCTAACAACCACAATGGAAAACAATTCTCGCTGCTCTTAGACGTGTATCTGTCTTTGATAACTTAAGTTAGTACAGCATATATTTATAAAGCTAAAAGTAAAGTTCTAAAAGCAAACTCTTGTAGATTGTAAAACTTAGTATTGGCTTAGTGTTCAACAAACTTTTACACTTTTGCCTCAGATGTTTCATCTCCAAGCTTGGTGACATCCTCGGAACTAAATCCGTAAAGAAGTACACAAAGCACATTCAACTGTTACACGGATACTTAAGTGGTATTTTTCCTCACTCTAAGTGGTGTCCAACTGTCAGTAAGGGAAATTAGTGCTGAGAATGTCATCAAAATACCAAACTTCAAAGAACTCTAAACCAGTATCATCTTCATCTTAAGTTACAAATCTTTTCCGTTATTGTAAATTTTCTTGCAGGAATAAGTATTCCTCTTTCCATTTAAAAGTTAAATACATAAAATCTCTCATAAACTGACTTTTCCACCATGGCCTGTTATAGTTGTTATTGAATCTGATACATTTGTAGGACACTTCAGCTTATGACAAACAACAATACTGTATACGTTGTATAATGTTACAATTCCTTTTTTCTTAGCAGACCTAAACATAGATGTTGAATTCTAATTTGTGGGTTTCAGGTTCGGTCCCCGCTCCGCTTACCAAGGTCTAGGCAAACAGCCCTCAAACAATAGGTGTGACACATTGCCTACTGCATGAACATACATAACGTTGCTGTGAAAATTGTGATTTTGACACCATGGTGTTTCAACTGAAACAATGTTAAAGAGACAACTTCAGAATGAATAGCCTATTAGTTAGAAATGAATCTGTCCAAAGCCAGTCAATAACAAATACAACTTATTTCTGTCTTTGTGTATAACAATAATCGAAACAGAAAGCATCAAGTTAAATAACTGCCTTCGCTTCTCGTTATCGGATCGAACTCTGGTGGATGCCGCCTGTTTCTTAGATGGCGTAACTGTGATGAGGAAATTATTAGTGATACCAAAAACAAGTGATAAGCGACGGAGACTTTACAATGTCTACAAAATTATTTTGAATATTTAAGCATTCATCACTAGAAAAAAGGTTTTTTTATAAACCATAGCATACAAATATCCTCTTGATGCAGATTACTTGTGCATAAGTTACTGTAGAAGTTGACGGATGGGAACTGTCACTGCCACAATAAAACCATCACTTCGACAAGTTCGTCACGAACTGGCATCACTCATAGAATCAGTAAAAACCTGACAGCCATGGACAATGGCTTCTTCCTAATATGAGGTTATTATTATTGTTACTATTATTGTTACTATTATTATTATTATTACTATTATTATTATTATTATTATTATTATTATTATTATTATTATTAGAACACAAGCAATGTACAGCAAGGGCACCGAGAAATACTTCACACAAAATAGTATAATAACAATGAGAAGAGATAAACGATGTGAAGTGGTTAAGTCAGAAAGAAAGCCAATAAGAAATGCATGATTAGAGGGGTATTGCAGTAAGATACATTCAGAATAAAGCATTCACTACTTTTCAGCAGCAGAAGATAGGAGGAAGCTGCAGAATAACCGCCACTGGTTTCGATTTAGGACCATATCTGATAACGTCGTAAGCCACTGAGTTGAGTGATCTTTCGGACCCCCTCAGGGAGCTGCTATGCACCAACAGATGCTAACCCGATATAACTATCCTTCATCCCACAACGCCACTGACCACTCCTCCACCTCTTTCATCAAGCCTCAGGGTTAGAAAATAATAAACGGGTATGAAAGCAGTTGGGACGACATGGATAACACGTGTCCAAGCCACTGAAGTCAGTCTTTCAAGATAACTTCACTGATTGAATCACGACCTACAACATGCTCAAACACACCCTATCGTACCTCAGAATTACTTACATAATACTACTACTGGATATGAGGAATCCTACGGAGACAACGGTGATCGAACAAAGATTCATAGCGTATCCTCAACTAGGAGAGGCCAGGTTTCACAGACGTACAGCAGAACTGCTCGTACTGAAGCTTTGTAAACCCGACTTTTTACGGTCAGACTAACGTCGCAACTGTGTCAAAGGTGGCTCACAATGGTGTACACCACTCGGGCTTTCGATATGGAGTTGGAAACTACATCACTCACACCCAGATACAAGAACTTTTCGATTACTTCCAACGGCTGAACACCAAGGTTGAGCTAAGGCACATGCTCTTGCCAATCTTGCAAAAATATTTTGCACTTTAATGGTGCAAAGCACATGCCACAATTACGAACAGCAGAGTGTACTTACAGCGTCATGCAGGATCAAGCCCAGGACTTTACTATTAAGCCACTGGATTGGGATTTTTCGGTTTATATTTTCCTACTTCTTTCCATACATAATATGATACAACTATCACTCATTGTCATCATCAGTTATTCTTTCTTGGACCAAACTCGGATCCAGTAAGTCGTAGGGGAATCTATCTCGAAGTAACCGACTCATAAACACTGGACATAATCCACGCGATGGTTTGCGCACCTAGGTAATTAACTACACTTCACTTGATGCCACATTGTAATGAAGACTACCCTGAAAAAATCAATACCTACAAAATTAATATACTTACAAACATTTCCAAATTCTGTGTACTCAGTTAGCATGCAAATCTTATAGCCAAATGTGAGTCAGTTACACAGTTCTAAATAGGCATGATGGAAACTAAAGTAAAGCAAACTAGAAGGTCGACGTTGTACAACAATGCGTAATCTTGTTACTTTTGAGACTTGGCCTCTACTTGCTCCTAGAACCCTGAGAACTCCCAATTTACCTTTTATTCGGCTTAATAAATCTTCGTCATTGAAATCAGTCTGACCCCACAGAGTTTTAAGTTCCTCATTTTAAGGTTTCTTCATCTCATATGATGTCATATAAAATAAGTTTAAAAAAAGCGACTAAATTGAGCAATAACATTTATACTTACTGGATTTTCTGCATATTGAATGATAATCATGACAACAGTCACCAGTGACTACACAGCTTTCATCACAATAACATCGATCAAGTGAATTTGAATGACGTGTAACACGATACTTCTTCCATGGATAATATCTAGATATTGATGATTGTACAATAGGCTTGTAAACAAAGCATTGCTTCTCACGACCAGTACAACATAATGGTGTTCCATTAGGTAGACGACATCCTGTTGATTCAATTGTTATAATATGATTTAATGTTAAATAAATTAAAAATAACATAACCCAATGAAGATATTTTGAAATCAGTTGAATATTTAACTCTTTATGATGAATTAATTCAAACATATTTGAATGTAACTGAAAAAAGCTTGTTTAAAAATTACTCCTTTAGTCTTACCAAAAGGGATAGTACTAACCGAAGGAAGAATTTAAATGTTCATATGCTTTCGTTATTTTATGAAAATCTTTTATTTATGTGTAAAGTGTATATAAATAATTGGTAATAATTGTGGTTGTAACAACAGAATTAATAATAAAACAAATGAACATGTAAGCATGTATGTATTTAAATAGTATTTTTTAGCCAGAAACAGTTAACTTTAAATTTTTTTTCTTTTTCCGGTTAGTTGAGAGAAAAAACTTTCTTTTTTCTGTTGTCTGATGATCATATCCAGGTCTATATACCGGTGGCCTAGCAGCTCCACTGTATTTTGATGTTATGTTGTATCACCTCCATACATGAATAGGTCAGTGCACACTTATGTAGTGACATACATATGATATACACACCCTTCACGTGCATATGTATATATATACACACACGTACACTAAACAGCTAAATGATGCTCAGGCCTAGACACTGTTAAGACTGACAATTCGTTAGACTCCGTTTATGCAGTATTGTGATTGGCCAATTCGTGCCGTTAGCAATAGGCGAAAAAATCTGACCTTCACTTGACCCCGTATAAATTGCCATGCCGAAAAATATAAAAATTAACATAGTTAGAATCACAACAACAGACCAACAAAACTATTATAAAAAAAAGGTTAAGGCCAAATTTGTGTAGGGATTAATTTTCAACATTTAGGTGAAGTAACTAGACTATATGCTGCGGTCTGATGACCCTGCCACTTAAGCAAAATTATGCACGTCAGATGTGCATTCACATACAATGAAAGATTTGTCTGTGTGTCAATGCATGTAACAATTATTTGTGTATCTCTGGTGTCAGCCTACAAAATCACCTTGTCCTTAACACCATTTACTTGGCCTTTATGAAATAGGAAAGAAATGCAATTGTAAATACATTTTTCCATCATTTTTTGATAGCTGTCATTTCCTGTCGGTCATTATCCTGCACGGAAGTGATTTGTATCTTTAGGCATATGGGTTCTTTGAACGAAGGCCTCGATACTGCTCACAGTTTCCTCAGGATGCTATCTTTTTGGTGGTGGCTAGTAGAGGGATTTCAGACTTGGGTTTCGTCCTATCCAAGACTCATTATCTGTGTATACCTGCATCACAGCTCATATGTTGAGACTCGAAGTCAATACCCATCGCTTCAAATGTCAAAGCGATATCCACTACGCTGACAAGTCACAACAGATACTGAGTTCAGGTATCAGTAGGAACACTGCCACTCACTGGGACGCATGTACACCAGGTTGACGAGTCTCGCATAGGAAGAAAGTTTTGTGTTAGGTTTCGCCGCTATCCGCCACAAAGTGCCTAGTACCTCATCAGTACTGTATAATTATACTTCTAGCTAGCTGGCAAATATATCCAGGCAAAAAACAAGGTGAACAAACTGAAGAATCCTGGTAGTTTCATCCTGACATAATGATACAGAATTAGTTTGTCCAGTTTGTCTCTAAAAGTCCTTGTTTTAACTCAGGGAAATGTTATAAGGTTATCAAATACTAAGTCAGAAAATCTATGCCAATGCAATAAATATTATCAGTTTGACTATCTAAGATAGTCATGGTTCGGCTAAATTGTATGGATACTGTGTGGTGATCGAAAGTGAAAGGAAAATCTGAACAGAAACAGGATTCCAACCGGCGAACACAAGGTTTCCAGTCTGGAGGTCTACCAACTAAGCGAGTAGAGTTCCGAGCCGGAAATTTGATGGTCGTTGATTCGAATCCTACTGCTTCCAGAATTTCCATTTCACCCCTTATCATCACCCAGTCTCAATACAATGTATGGGAGAAAAGTGTCAGTGAATAGATAGGTTATTACAGAAACACAAAAGGAATCATGATGGAGGTGGTTATAATAATGTAATTAACCTGAACAACTTCATTATCAAAGGATTTTCAGCTGTCAGAAATCTTCACCAGACTTATCATGTCAGCAGCAGTTTGACTGGTACTAAAGTTTAAAAACTTGCTAGACACAAACACTTTGAACTGACCAATACTAATGAACCCATTTTTCAAAGCAGTTTGGTTTGTTGAGCTCGATACACTTGTTGCCGGGTGAAAGAAGCCAAACAGTCAGTAAGAATAACAGATAAATCTAAATTAACTTAAAACGGTAGATCCTAATAATGTAGAAAGAAGCATAACAATACTGGTGCATACTGTTTCACGAAATCAATCAACGTGATCGAAAAGTAACAGTATGATTCAAAGGTAGAGCTATGTTGGTGGAATCGACACCCAGTATTCCCCATAAAAGTGACACATCGGCAATTCAGTATAGGTGGAAAACAGAAATACTAATACTACATACGGGATCACTCTCTTTGCCCTAGCCTTAAGTTGACACTCTGTACCTCTGTTTATGCCTTATATTTTATATTTCTCTAAGTTTTAAACAGATACCAAATGTTACTTTTCGACGCATTTTATCGAAATTCTGAGACCATTTCATCGATAAGGGAATGTTGTTTCATTCCCGGTATACATCGAGCAATTAATTTTGACCTTTGACCGGGAAACTATCTGGGACATTCCATCCAATCACTTATATAACTGTGAATGTACGGCTATGAAAATGAGTTGTCGAAAAGATAATTATCTACACTGTAACCTCCATTATCCAACCAACAAGAAACTCTGGCAACGAACAAACCAAGAACCCATCGCTCATCAAATATGTCGAAGAAAGTGGAGATGGATTGGGCATACACTGAGAAGACCATTTGGGGACATCACGCACCAGGTCATGTTCTCGAGTGGAACCCAAAGGGAAAACGATGAGTTGGGCGTCCGAGGGTCATATGGAGGAAACTGTGTAATTAAGAAATGAAGTCTTGTGGGCAGCCGTGGAGCTAGGTTCAAAAGATTGCAGAGAATAGATTGAAATGACGACGTGCTTCTGAAGCTCTATGTTCTAGGAGGACCCTAAAGGACACTTAACAATAATGTTATAAACCTCTATCATCCAATAAATGTCAGGGTTTCGCTGTCTGATAAATTTAATAATTTATCAACAATTCAGTTACTAGTGTATAATGAGAAGGGCGTCAGATACATAGTTGACATTGACTAAGCTGAATTCAGTTTTTTATTTTTCTGATAGGGATATTTTATGCAGAAATAGGTAGTTTGATGATAGTTTTCAATTCCGGATGAAACGGACCATTTAAGGATAATGTATGCTGAAACATACAGACTCCTTCAGAATCAGTATGAGCTAAGCGACAGCGACAGACCTAGAAATTAGTATTATCCTCCCCATTTGAAGAAAGCTTTGACGTGATGAAAATGTATACTGAGAATTAAAACTAAACTGATTTGTTTAAACATTATTAACAACTAACCTAATGGTTACGCTTTATTCAGCTTATTCAAAACTGGATAATAAATTTAAAACCTGCCGAATGTAAATTTGATAGTGTTTAACTTACTAGCTGAGTAGCGCTGAGTGTATAAGAAGACAATATCGAAAACATTACTTTTTTATGCTGTTTTGTGGACAATGAAAGCAGTCAAGAGGGCATGGAACAACAAGTTATATTCTCTTGGGTTTCTTCTCTAGATGTTATCACCAGAAGTAAAATTCATTTGAAGAGTGAAGGTTTTTCAAGTGGTATTCTCCATGAATTGATATCAGCTGGGTGCCGTCGGAAACTTGGGAACGCCAGACACCTGTTTCTTCTTGGTATGGGACTCCTCAGCAGTATGCACCGGTGACTCCTCTAGGGATTGAACCTAAGACCTTCGAGTTTCATGGCGAACGCGTTAATTATTCATCAACTTTATCAATGTTCAACGGTCCACAGTTTCTTACCTCTGTTGATTTGCGATATACCCCATCAGCTTCACTTCCAGCTAGCTGACCCCACTGGTCACGACTTCCATTGGAACTTCGGGACATTCATTGTGAAACATGTCGTTACTGAGCACCATATAGTTTTATATTTTGAAGTTAGTAAAGGTTTTATTCAAAAAGTAATGTTCGGAAGTGAAAAAGGATGGCAACTGAAGACCATGGTGGATAGCTGCGCTATGTCCTGTTCGGACATAGTTAGGAAACTGTGAACCGCTGAACTCTCACTCAGTGGAAAAGTGGTCACTCTGTTTCCCCGCGTTCACATGGTTACTAAACGTCATGACATTTCATCGCTAACTTCAATGCACGTGGATAACTATGGAGATGAATTCAATTTTAACAATGTAGAAATCTTGGACAGAGGAAACATAGAGAACATCAGAGAATTCCTAGAAGCTTGAGATTCAAGTGAGTCAGCAATCAGTAGACTCATAGACAAAGACCCAGTCTATCAATCAATAAAAATGGATAGGCAACAGAAATGTCAGAGGTCAGGGAGAGGAAAAGCCGATAGGAAAATCTATGCAGTCGATGGTGCAACAACTCACTTCATACTGAAGTTAGTACTGATGATGTCGTATGGAAAGGCAATGGCAGCTCCCTGATTAAATCATCCAGCTCAGGGAACACTAAACAACCAAGATCATCCACTCAAGCTACGAATATTCTCCATCATTTCACCTCCACTGTGTATAACAATCCACGTGTGCTGGTGGAAGTAAGTATATATGAAGTTGGGTATCTACCCGATTTTATAAGTATATTTCAAGATATCTGTGTCTGATAGGTAGTAAGGTCTATACCAGTACAATCGTCAAACATTTGGTAGAAACAGGACATCAAACAGATGTTTCACAGTCCTTCAGGATAATTAACAAACAAAGAACTTGATGTTTATTACGGTTTGCGGAAGCTGTCACCATCAAACATTATAAAACTGACCTTCATATTCAAAAGGAGACCATTGTTAACTTTCCTTTTCCCCTGGAGACTGTATATCATTTTCTGCATTTGTATGTATATAAATTTCCTTTCTTGATTGCATCATCTCTTCAGTGATTAC